GCCAAGATTTTTAAACCCGGCTAGATGGTACTTCTGGATCGAATGGGGTTAAGGCTGGACCTGGCACAGACCTGCATCCGAGGCGGTGATGTTTTGCAAGGACACGCAGAACCTAAGTCCATCTGTTGCCACGTTCACCAGGAATTGCTTTCGGCTACACGGCACAATAATAGACACAAAAACGAACACCATGGACTGAACACACTCCCCGGGCTGGAGCCACAGACGGCACCAGGCTTTGCTTTATGATAGGATGGCCTCCACCGTGGCCCGCAAGGACTAGACAAAATATTACTCTTTGGAGGGGCCATTTCTCTGCAGGGGCACTCGGCTGTTGTCCCATAGAACATGAGAGTGGGGATCTCTGGGTGGCGCAGCGGTTTGGCGCCTGCCTTTGGCCCGGGGCGCGATCCTGGAGACCCGGGATCGAATCCCACGTCGGGCTCCCGGTGCATGGAGCCTGCTTCTCCCTCTGCCTGTGTCTCTGCCTCTCTCTCTCTCTCTCTCTCTCTCTCTCTCTCTCTCTCTCTGTGACTATCATAAATAAATAAAAAAATTAAAAAAAAAAGAACATGAGAGTGGCTCCTTCTGCAAAATGATGTTTTGGAGAAACTCCTTCAATACGGAATCGGCAGGTGCACTTTCATTTGCTCGATTCCTTTTCTGCAAATGAAAGTGGGGGGGCCTCGTCCGCAGCCCTCAAATTGTGGAGCCGAAGATCACATTTCAGAGTTTCTCTGTTTTCAAACCATATGAAAATGTACCAACTTTTAGTTATTTATTAATTTTAAATTTTTTTACCTTCCTCTCCTGAGCTCTAGACCCTGGTGACCAACAATCTATGGGATGTCTCCACTTGGATGACCCATAGGCACTGTTCAAGGCCACGCATGTCACTGTGCAGATCATCACACCTAAGGGGGACCATGCACAGGGAAAGCCCCCTCGATTTCTAGGTGTCTTCTGGGCCTTTCTTGGCATACAGCAGCCAGAGGTTGAGCTTTGACAGCGTTGGCCTATTACGACAACTTTATGACCAACAGCAGTCCAGTGTTGTGAGGACGGGGTGTCTGCTTCCAATGCACAGAAAAGCACCGTGTGGGCCGGGACTCAGGGCAGGGCCAACCTGACGTGTCCAAAATGATCTCATCCTACTCACTCACCTCTTCCAGCCCCGGGGCCCCCTCGCATTCCTTAGCTCGGGGACCACTGTCACGCTCTACCCGGTTACGGGAATCTCACACCCATCTCTTAGCCTCCCCTTCCCTCTCTCCTTCATGCCCAGCATCCCATCGGTCACTGAGTCCTGTCCAATGTCAGGCTCCCCTGCATCAGCTTCGGAAATGGTCTTCCCACAGCCATGCCTGCCCCTCCAGTCCATCCTACGTTGGGCAATCTCAGCTGCGCTTCCAACGCGTGAACACGATCAGTTGCCCTTCTGTGATCTCTGGCCGTGGCTCCTTGTCACCACTAATGGCACCTCCAAGTGCACTCTTCAGACCATCTGTGTCAGACTCACTTGTGGTGCTTTACAAAATGTGGACTCTCGGCATCCCCTTCCCTGCCAAGCTACTAAATTCTCAGATTTTTTGGGATGCCTGGGTGGCTCAGTGGTTGAGCATCTGCCTTCAGTTAATGGTGTGACCCCGGGGTCCTGGGATTGAGTCCCACATTGTGCTCCCTGCAGGGAACCTGCTTCTCCCTCTGCGTATGTCTCTATGTCTCTCATGAATAAAGAAATAAAAATCTAAAGAAAAAAATCTCAGATTCTCTGCAGTGGGGCTCCTGGGTTTGTAGCTTAGTGGATGTCACAAGTCATTTTTATGCATGTAAGTCTGGAAACTACTACATTATACAGTACACTGTGTAGACATTCCATAAACATGCAGTGTACATGCATAAACATGTGCCACTTCCCCAGCAGGGACCTCAGCGTGCAGCCGGCAGGACAGAAGTGCCTTGATTTTCCCCAGGGAAGCACCAGCATGCGCCTGACAACTCACTCCTCCCCTTGCCTCCCACCACACAAGTGGACATCTGTCCCCTGACAGTGATCCCCGGGAAGGCAGGGTGGTCAAGGCAAGAACTGTGAGTGGGCCCTGATATGGGCCTTGCAGGGCAAAGGGAGGTTGGGGCACGTGGATGTTGGGAGACAAGTTTCCATGACTACGTCGGGCCAGGTCCTCTGGGTGAGGAGTTTACAGTCACGTGAAGAAAGCTGGTATAAGGACACACTGCAACACAGTAAAGCTTAGAGACATCCCTCCCCCAGAGTTCAGAGGTGTGAAGGTCAAGATCTCCCCTTCCCCCTCCCCAAAGATTCATTCACATTCCAGGAAAGTGAGGAACTTCTTTCTCTGGAAGAGAGACGGGGCAGTTCACTAGCAGCCCTATCGAAGATGCAAGTTTTCCAAATTTGGGCTTCTCCTCCTGTGGGGCACCCCCATGGCATGTGCAGATACCATCTGGCCCCCCACTGTTGGTCAAAAGAGATTACAGGGCAGGCCATCTTCAAGAGGAGTAGACCCCACCTGTCGATGGGGGCATGGCAAGGCCACATTGCCAAAGACCATGTCACCCCGTGGACATTGGGGCTGGGTGAATCCATCCAAGATGCTTGCCCTGGCTGCTGTTTTTGCTGTAATAATAACCTCTGTCTTTATTATCGACCCAGAGGCCTCTTGTCTTCCTTCAGCTTGTCCGTGTAGTCGGAGGCTATGTTTTAAGCTTGCTAGTGGGGGAGACCCTCAGATCCTCCACGGCTGTGGACCTTATCATGTGTGGAGCCTTCCTCAGAGAGCAGCAATGGTTTGGCCATGGATTCCTGGCTGAATGTGGGAAGGAGCTGGGGGTCGGGGTGGGCCAGAGGGCAAGGGGGGTTCAGGTGCCCTGCTGCTGCACAACATGCACCTCAAAACCTAGTGGCTTAAAACATCAATTTATTTCTCAAGAATCCGTGTGGTTCAACAGAATGAGTCTCTGGCTTCACCTGGTGTTGGCTGGACGGCCGGGAGGACTAGAAGGCCTGAAACGTCCTCAATTACGTGGCCGGCTGGGAGCCTTGGTTCTCTTCCACATGGGCCTTGCCGCGTGGCTGCTTGGGTTTCCTCACAGCATGGCAGCGCAGTTCCAAGTGACAGTGTTCCCAGAATCCAAGGCAGAGGTTGCAGCTCCTTGGAGGCCGAGCCCTGGAAGTTAAGGAGCCCCCCTTCTGCCATATTCTATTGGTCCAAATAAGTTATGGGAGGGGACATAGATTTTCATCCTTTGACCTAGATGTGGCAAGGCCACATTGCCAAAGAGCTTTGGAAGGAGGGATGCCCTTGTGGCTGTCTTCCGAGGTATGGCCTACCATGGCGGGACTGCTCCATCCTATTTCTCCAAGGGTGCTGAGCCTTGGCTGTGCTAGAATCCAGCACAGCGTACGAACCTGTAGTCTAGCATAATGGAGGCTCTGTGTCTTGGCCCCAATGGCCCCTAGGTGACCTTGTCTCTCACCTTGTCCAATTTTATGCTGCAGCAACAGGACATCTCGGGGTTCACATACACAGAGTAAGCTGTGTAAGCAACTGTACACCTGTGCCCATGACCATTCTTCATGCCTGCAATGACCTTTGGACTCAGGTCTGCATGCCATCCTCTAGGAAGCCCTCCTCAGCCCTCTCCTCCCACAGCCCAGCGGCCTTGCCCCCACTGCGGCCCTCACCAGCAGGGCCCCGTTGAAGGATCTGGTACTGAAACTATATTTAAAATCTTGTCATTTTGTTTCTGACAAATCTCAGGGCAGCGAGGCTGCTTGCATTACAGTTCTGGAGGCTGGCAGGTCCGAGGCTGAGGCTGGTTCCTGGGAGAGGCCTCTTCCTGGCTCGCCCACAGCGGTCTCTCTGGGGCCTTTGCGCAGTGCTTGCTTGGGGAGAGGCTGACACCAAGCTCTCCGGGGTGTCTTTGTGCAAGAGCAGTAATGTCCCCATGCCAGGGCCCCATCTTTGTGATCTAATCACCTCCCAAGGTGTCATGTCCACATGCCATCGAGAGATGGTTGGGTGCCCTGCAGTTGCTGGGGCTTCAACTTACGAACGGGGGATGTGCGTGTGTGGACAGAAACAGTCTATAACCGTGGATCAAACACGGATGTGATAATTTGGAAAAGCAGAGCCTGCGGGAGGTACACTGGGGGTCTCTGGAGATCTTCGGGGGCTTCCTGCCACCCTCCCCACCCTGTCACCCTTTCAGCCGAGGCCCAGCCCTCTGGGGTGCAGGATGGCTGCGGGGCTCCAGGCATCGCATCCTCACCCTCGAGGTTCATTTCGAAGTCGCTGAGGCGGGAAGGCCAGACGGGCCCGGGGCGGGAGCGGGCATGTCCCCGGTACAGGTGTGCTTGTTATCAGGGTCGCCGCCCCTGCCGCCGCGACCCGGGGAAACCCGGGGCAATCACAGCAAACGGCTGAGTCACGGTCGCCCTCCCGTCCGCGAACCAAGTCAGGGGCGAGCTGACAGGGGCTGGGCCTAGGTCGCCAGATGTTGGTGGATCTGCCGGGCAACGCAAGGTGACAGTCACTGCTAATACGAAGCGGGGCGGAAGTTCCGAGGGCGGCGGCGGCGGGGGGGCGCGTGGTGGCCCCGCCGATGGCGGGGAGGTGGGCTCGGGGGAGGGGCGGAGGGCGTGGGGAGCGCTCGCCGGGCCGCCCTCCCGTCAGAGCTTCCCCGGACGCCGAGCGGAGGGAAGGCCGTCGTGTCCCGGCTCGCCGTGTCGCCGAGCGGCCCGCGGCCCCCGGGGCGTCCCCGCCAGCCGGCTCGGGGGCGCGCGGCCGGGCCCAGGTGGGGCTCCGCGGGCGGGGGCGCGGCCAGCCCCGCGCGCCGCTCCCCGCCCCCGGCCCCGCGCGCGGCCTTGTGGGTAGCGCGGGGCCGCCAGGTGACAGCTAATGGCGGCGGCCGCCTGAGCCGGCGGGCGGCGCGGCGCGGCGCGGCGGCGGGCCCTTCCGGGCGCCGCTCCCCTCTCGCTGCGGCTCGCCCGCGGCGGCGGGCCCGGCGCGCCATGGACAGGCCGGCGGCGGCGGCGGCGGCGGCGGCGGCGGCGGGCAGCGAGGGCGGCGGGGGCCCGGGCCCCGGGCCGGCGGGCGGCAGGAGGCCCCCTCGAGGCGCCGGAGGCCCCGCCGTCGGCTCCCGGCAGCCCAGCGTGGAGACCCTGGACAGGTAAGCGGGCCCCGGCCGCCGCGGCCTCCGCGCCCCCGCCCCCCGGGGCCCTGCGCGCCGCGGTGGCCGTGCAGCCCCTCCCCGCCGCTCCCTGCCCTGCCCGACCCCCTTCCTGCCCCGGACCCCGGGCCCTGCCCCCGCCCCCCGGGGCGCGCACCTGGCCCACTTCCGCCTCGCCGGCCCGGGCTCCCGGCGCCCCAAGGGGCTCCGCAGCTGTCAAGTCTTCTCGGCGCTTCTGCCCGCCGCACCTTGCCACGCGCCCCGCTGGCCTTACCGGGGCTGCGGCGCCTGTGGGGGGAAACTTGAACCCGGGGCTCAGCTCTTTCAGCGTGGCCTTCCCTCTCGGGGTTGGAAGACCACAATCCCGCCGCCCCCCGGGACTGCTGGGGGGGCGGGGGGCTTTGCCGTTGGGGTTGGGACTGGAGGACGCAACCCCGTGGGTGTTGGAGCTGCTGCGGATGGAGGCAAAGTTACCCCGATTTGAACGGATGGAAAACTTCCAAACTGCTCCTGATGCAGGAACAATGGTTTACTTCAGTCTTTCACACTTTGAAGGAAGCCGGTTCATTGTTTTCCTGAACACAGAAGCCTACTACTGCTTCCTAGGCAGAGCCGCTCTATGTCAGACGTAGAGACCGACCGCGTCCAACTGGGAGGCTACCCTAAGGCTCCGAGGCGAGCACTGGATTGGTTTTCCCGTGGCCCGGAATATCCAGTTTTCCCACATCTTGGCCACTTCGTTGACAGGACAGGGCACTTAGGCAACAGTGTCGTAAGGCAGCTTGGTCGGTTTCAGATGCTCATTCCTGCCGGTGTTACTCATAGCAGAGAGCTGCACTTTTGGGAGTTTCCCAAAGCGTAGCAACAACAAGAAACACTCCCTTTGTTCCTACCTCCCTGCAATTACAGTGTATTCCGCATTAATCCCCCAAGCAATCAGGGTCACTGAGAACTATAGTACTTGGAGCCCTCAGGATGCCCTCATTTGCGGAATTTCCCCAATGTTTGAGGGCTTGGAGAGTCACAGAATAGTACAAGGTGGCTTTTGCTCTCAGGCTTACCTTCTCAGGAAGAATATAAACAAACCAGCAATTTAAATAGAATCTGCTGACTGCTAGGGTGAAGGTAAACAAACAAGTACTCTGGATGGGGTATGTATGGGAGTCATCTGAGAAGCTTTTTAAGAACTCCAGGTGACCAGGCCCGGTTCCTGAGCCTTCTGATTCAGGAGGTTTGGGGTGAGGGCCAGAAGGTAGCATTTTTCAAAACGCCTCAGCAGACTTCTTTGCGATTCATTGCACTGTGGGCACACGGAGGTGGGGTGCTTGATTTATTTTCAGTGGAAGGGGGTTGAGGACTATGGGCGGTTAAGGGAAGGAGACCTGCTGAGGAAGCTGACATTTGAGTTGAAGGGCGAGGAATGAGAAGTTAGCCAGGGGACAGGGCGGGGAGGACTTTCTGGCCACGGCAGTGGAATGTGCAGTCACGCAGGCAATGCTAGATGTGGGAACTGGTAGGACACAAAATGTGTGGGAAGGCAGAGGCCAGATCTTGAAGGGGCTTGAGTGCTTTCCTAGGGACTTGTGCCTTTATCTTCTGTGCCGTGCTTCTCAGGGCATTGTTCTGTGTGACCTGCATGGGAATCCCCTCCGGCGCGAGGTCCACATGCAGGTTCTTGGGTCCCACCCTAAGTCTGGTCTGTCCAACTCAGGGCCATGGCCTGGAGTTCTGCACTTTCAATGATCACCCACAGCTGCAAGTAGGTTGGACCACAGGGTCTCTTTTGCCCAGGATGGTGCCGGTTTACTAGCTGGGCAGGCACGGTTATTAATAGTGCCCTCCTTCAATAGTGTCTTGGTTTGGATGGGAGATGATATGGTCACCCTAGCTTTGGGGACCACAAAAGAATTTCCATCAGGTGAACTTGATGGAATGGGATTGATGTTTGAGAACATTTGTTCTGCAGTGGTGTGGTGAATGGACTGGAGGCGAGGAGTCTTATTGAATAGGTTATGGAAAAGCGAATCACTCGTTCATTTGTATAGGACTGCCGCCTCTGTGTCAGGCACCGTGTGGGGCCTGTAGATTTGGCGGGGAACGAACACACACAGATCACTGCCCTTGGTGAGAGTATGTTTGGTGACAGATGGACAAAAACCAAGTAAACTGAATCCTCTGTTAGTGACAGGTGCTAGGGGAGAAAGTAAGTTGGGAGGGGAGTACGAGGTGTTGGGGGCCTGCAGTTTGGGGGGTGAATTGGAATTTTACGGAGGATGGTCAGGGAAACTCTGACTGAGAAAGGTGACATTTGAGTACTGCCCCTAAAGAAGGGAAGGGTCCAGTCATACAGATATTGAGGGCAGAGGCCTGTGCACCCTGGATGGGGGTGGACCAAGTGTGCAAGGATCAGCAAGGAGACCAGTGTGACTAGTGAGGAGGGAGCTAGGAGAGAGGTCACAGGGGCAGATTGAGTCATGGGGAGCTACTGGGGCTTTTGGAGCAGAGGACTGCCATACCCTGGTGTAGATTTCAGTAAACCTGTCGTTGCTGTGTGGACAACAGACAGAAAAGGGGAAGGGATTGAAGCAGAGAGACTAGCAGGTAAGAGACTATTGCAGTCATCCAAGTAAGAGAGGATGCTGGCCTAGATAGCTGGGGGAGAGGAGGGAGAAGTGGTCAGATTATAGATGTAATTTGAAAAAAACCTGCAGGGTTGAGCCAATATGGTTTGCTGAAGAACATTGCTTGTTGGGTGGGAGAGAAGAATCAAGATGCCAAGATTTGGGGCTTGTGGGAAAATGGTGTTGCCAAGATGGAAAAGCCTCTGAATGGAGCACAGTTAGGAAATTAGCAGGCTCTCAGCTCCAGACATACCAGTTCTGTGATGCCAGTTGTATATCCCAGAGCACAGGTCAAAGACGCAGGTGGTTCCTATGGGCCTGGAGTTCAGGGATGTTGTGTGGGCTGGAGACCTAAATTTGGGAGTAATCTGCCTAGAGATGGGGCCTAAATTCAGGAGGTGGGAGGGGAATACAGAAGAATGATGGGAGTCCGGAAAAGGGGACTGTGATAGGGACTGACTGGGCAGGGTGCATTCTCAGGATCCTAGCCAATAAGAGCAATGTGGCCTGGAGAGCATTCAGATGTGAGAGTGAGGTGAAGCGGGGGCAGGCTGCAAGGTCGACCCTGGCTTTTGGGCACAGGAGTACCTGGGTAACTGCCTGTGCTCTCCCCTGACCTAGGAAACACAGGGGTGAGGGAGTGCATTGCAGGCTGAGCCCCCGCTGCTGGCTTCAACAGGTCGAGTTGGCAGGGCCTCAGAACCAACTAGTACAGATGTCTCCTTGGATCATGGGCATCCAGATCAGGAGACTCCAGGTTGGAGAAACAAAGCCGGCCTCCTCCAGGTTGCAGGCGGTTCTTATTTATTTATTTATTTATTTATTTATTTATTTATTTATTCATTCATTCATTCATTCATTCATTCATTCATTCATTTATGATAGTCACAGAGAGAGAGAGAGAGAGAGGGGCAGAGACACAGGCAGAGGGAGAAGCAGGCTCCACGCACCGGGAGCCCGACGTGGGACTCGATCCCGGGTCTCCAGGATCGCGCCCTGGGCCAAAGGCAGGCGCCAAACCACTGCGCCACCCAGGGATCCCTGCAGGCGGTTCTTAATACCAGGAGTGTGGCGGGAGATTGCACAGGGGGAACCTGGCCGACCTTCTTGGATCTGTCATCGTGACAGGCTCTGATTCATACTCTTCTTTGAAGAGTGACTCCTAGAGTGGAACCTGGCTCTATGCGCGAAGTTCATTCAGCCCTGCCCCACGGAGTGGGGAGCCCTCCCCTCCCTCCTGAATACTGTACTTAATGATGACAAAGCTGCGGTCCTGCAAGAGGATGTGGCTTGCTCAAGGTCGCAGAGCTAGCTGGTAACAGAAACAGGACCCGGATCCAAGCCTCCTGTCTACCAGCCCACTATACCATGCTGTTTGTGACTGTGTTGGCCAGGACACTTCTGGTTGCAAGTGACAAAAAACAACTCATTCTAGCTTAAGCCAAAAAGGAAATGTCTTGGCGCACATCACTGCTGCAGACAAGGAAAGAAGGCCAGGGGCACACTTGGAGCCTGAGTACACAGCATTGTTGGGGCTCCTCATCTCTTGTTTTTTCTTGTCCCATTCTTTATCTCTGTGGGTTTTTCAAGGTAGTGGGGGTGGGGAGGGGCCTCCAGCGGTGCTGGGAGTGGATCTACCCAGCTTGTGATCTAAGAGGAAAGCGTGGGGCTGGCCTGGTCTGGGTCACTCTCCTATAAGTGGGCTCAGGAGGAGCAAGGTATAACCTCCCCCTCCTTCCCAGCTCCCCCACAGAATCCTCTGAGGTGGGGAAGGACAGTTGCCCACAGGAGAGAAGTATCCTTATCAGAAGAAGGAGGGAGGGATGCTGGGCAGATGGTAACAACAGGTCACCCACAGTGGGTGACCAGGCAGGTTCCTACTGTTAGATTTGCAATCAGGGGTGGGTGCTGGTAGGGAAGAAGGCAGTGTGACAAGAAAAGTATGATCTAACCGGCAGTAAAGGTGACTTAGCCTTTAAAAAAGAAACTAAAATCCCTTCCCTTTCCCTCCTTTTTTCTTAGTTAGAAATTGTAGCAAATAGGATTTTGACATATGTTGGGAATGTTATGACACATGGTAGGAATGTCTGCCCATTGAGTGCATGTTTTTACTTATATTTTCAGCCCCGCAGCTAACCACTGGGCTGTCTTGATCAGAGACGGAAATTGAATCCCTAGTAGAGAGCATCGAGTATCTTCATTTAACCGTTCAGGCTATTTCACACACTGCCTGGGGATCCTACTTTTTCACTCTTTCCAATGGATGAGTGCAGATTTAATTAGTGATGAGATTTTTATAGGTCTGGAACTTTCTTTACAGCGAAACCTACCTGCAGGATAAACTTTCATGGACATGTCTTGCCCTTCGCTTAATACCTTCGGTGCTTTGACGAGGAGCCTGGCCCCTTGGGGGCAAGTTTTCATTCCCTCACTGCCTGTGCGTGGAAACACGGTGACACTTGAGAGCACCGTGCAAGTGTCAAGAACGATGCCATTTTCCTCGCATGACTGTGTGCTCGCCCAAAGCAGTGGCTGGCCTCTGGGGTGCTGGCCTCTGTTCTGCCTTCCAGCTCAGTGAGTCGCTCACTCTTGGTTGAGCCGTGTCCCGGAAGGACAGCCTTCGTGGAGCTGGGGGCAGGCCCGCCGCCACCTTCTGATTGGGCGCAACACCTCTGCTGCCTCAGTTTTCTCATCGCAGAAATCTGCTGGCTAGTCCCCGTTCTGCCTTCTTATCACACTGTGGTTGTGAGGCTCTGCTATCATAACAGACCGGAAGAGCCTTTGCAAGTTGTCAGTGCACTTACAGAAATGTAAGGTAGCTTTATTACTACATGCAGGACATCATGTATCTAGCCTGGTCTTTTTAAAATCACATAATCAAAAAAAAAATAAAAATAAAAAAAAAACACATAATCAACTGTTCTGTTAAAAGTCTCTATGAAAAACACGCCGTGAGATAAATAGTTCACTTTAGAATTCATATTCCATACACATTACATTAAGAATATTCACTCCATATAGTTGTAATATAGTAAAATTCCATGAAATGATAGAGAATAATGTGCTTAACTGTCTAATATCTAGACTCTTAAACGTACAAAAATTGGTTGATTTAAAATCAGCCTGGAACCTAACTTTACTTCCTGGTTGTCAAGATTTCGTTTCTTATATGAGATGTAAGGGTAACCAAGTAGTCTAATAAAAATTTGTTTTCTAAAAAAAATGTACATATATCCCTAGTCAGTGCTCATTTTTTTTTCACTGAGAGCTGACGTCTTAAAATATTTTAATCACACTATTTCTTTTAGTCCTACAGGATCACATGTTGAATGGTGTAAACAGCTTATAGCTGCTACAATTTCTAGTCAGATTTCAGGTTCAGTGACATCAGAAAATGTATCCAGAGACTACAAGGTAAGCAGCATTGAGTCCTTAATTGATTTTCAATGTATCAAGAAGCTTTGCATTTTTTAAAGGATTTATTTTATTTATTTGTTTATTTATTTGAGAGAGAGCATGTGTGCAGGGCAAGGAGGGGGAGTAGGCAGGGCAGGGAGGGGGAGTAGGAGGAGTGGGGGGGGGCAGGAGAAGAATGTCAAGGAGGGGACTACTGAGCTCAGAGCCCAGTGTGGTGCTTGATCCCAGGACCCCAAGATCACAACTTGAGCTGAAATCAAGAGTTGGTCTTTTAACCGACTGAGCCACCCAGATGCCCCAGGAAGCTTTGCGTTTTTAATTTAAGTGAGACTTTAGCCCCTTGATGCTCAGTGGACATTTGCTTGGGAACAAGGGTGAAAGGTTTTCTGTTAGATCTGAATGTTAGAGGAGAATTTTTACCGGGGTCTAGTGTGTGTACTCATGATTTTTGTAATTGGGAGGAAAAGCTGTCTTTAGATTATATCTTTTAAAAAAAAAATCCTGCTCCATTTTATTATTTTATTATATCACATATTGTGTTTTTGCATTTTATTATAATAAATGCCTATATTTTCTTTGATCATATTCTGAACTTCAGAAAATGTCTGATAGTATTTCCCAGCTTCACAATTTGTGTCTGTACTTAGGTACTACCTGTGGGTATTCAGCATTAACATGTGATGCTGCAGTGCAAAAACTTGCAGAACTCCTGAATGCTGTATGGGCAGCCTCATTTTTTGGTCCTTAATTTTTATTCTCTGTTTATTCTAAAGTTGAGAGTGGTAAGCTCCTTGTCAGCAGAGACTGGGGCTCTTTTACTGCCCACTGCTTCCCAGCACGCTCCTGGAGTATAACAGGTGCTCCGTAAATACTTGTTGAGTCAACTAACAATTAAAAAACTTCTGTGCTCCATCTTTGTTAAGGCTAAGACTAACTTTGTTTTAATATCAACAAACCATTAAACCATGCTTACGTTGCAGCAGTAGCATGTGCTTGAATTGAGGTTTCAGTTTATTATAGCTACTTACCTGTGCCTGTTAGTAAGAGAGAATCGATTTTCACAAGTACAGGTGAACTACATTTAGTATCCCAGACTACCCTCAGTCAACAGCCTCTCAAAATCACAAGTCCTTGCCAGGCGCCAAGTCTTACAAACAGTTCAAGAATGACAGGAAAGATCCTAATTAATTCTTAATCCATGCTCCTTGCTTAAGGGCTCTGGCCTCCGTTCTCCTCCTCTGTTTCTCATAATGTACCAAGTGCAGAAACTGACTCGAGAGGCCATGGAATTGACATTTGGCTGTCATGCTGTACTTCATCCGAGCCTTCGATGCTGTTGATTAGGCCTAGCAGAGGAAAGCAGGGCTGCGGATTAGTAGAAATTGGATCAACTGCTCAGCCAGAAGAGTGACAGTACATCACTCTCGATAGGTTTCCCTGCTACCTGGTTTGCACGTTTGTCCATGTAGGAGCAGCTGGGGTTCCGGGTGTTCCAAACCCAGCTGGGCACATATGCCGGCTGCAGGTGGGAGGAACATTTGCTGCATCGCTGATGCCGGAGCGGCTGGTCGCTGAGCAGCTGCCATCCCACCAGACCCAGTTGCCCTGTCGCCCCCTTCTTAGCTGAGAAACTGCCCCACTGGGTGGAGAGGCTCATGAACCCGTATTAGCGGAGGCCTCGGAATGGTTTTCTTTCTGGACAATTAGGAGTTAACTGTAATGTTTTCTTTATGCTTGATTACTTGTTAGTGTTGTGAGGGTTCTATAAAAGACTGTTGACCGTGTGCAAAGCTTTCTAACCTCTACATTAATAGATTACAGTGAATCTGTACATTAATATGAAGCAACGAAGTTTTTTTGATTTTAGTCTATTTACGAATTTTGTGTAGCAGAATTAGCTCATGTTGGAATGGTTTAACAGATGGCATTCGGAAAAAAAATAAGGCAGTTCTAGATTTTGTAAATTGAATTTTAGGTACCTACATCAGATCATAACTAAAGCTTTTGATGAATGATTGTAAGAGAACACGTTTTATAATTATCTTTGTTATATTTGCCCTGTAGCCAAGTACACAAAGTCAGCATTAAATATATAGTTCAGGAGTTGTTTTCTTTAAGAAGAGAGTTTTTTAAATAACAAAAGGGTAAAATGTTTTTAAACCACAAGGATAATTTTAAATGCTACTTATAAAGTCGTTCTTAAAATCAGAGTACCCCCCCCCAAAAAAAAATCAGAGTACCCAAGATGGGCCTCCTATACCTCTGTCATGGGAGCCACTGCATGGGGTTTTTCTTGAAGGTCTAGACACAATTCCTTGAGGATCTAATGTGTAGTCATAAATCAATAATAGTTCAGATTATCTACTGTGCAAATATCCTCTTTGAAATTCACACACAACGTGGGGGTTCATTTATTATAGGTTAAGTTCCATATCAGTAATTAAATGGGAGCGAGTGTTTATAATGGAGCTGAGCATGTGCATCTTGATTCGAAATGCTGATTGTCTTTCACAACGTAGGCTGCTGAGGGTACTACATCCCCCTCATCACCCCTTGAGCATGTGTATGACTCTACAGTTTTCTAATACTTTCTTGTTGGTTTTGTAATACTTTTTGACATATAATCTGTTTCAGTCTTAAAACAACCAAATGAGGTAGCTTTTATTATAATCATCATTTAACAGAGGAAGAAACCAAGGCTCGGAGATGTCAAATGACTTGCTTGGTATCCCATAGCTAGACTTGGGATTTTTCAGCAGGACAACTGGAAAGCTAGAGTACATTTAAAATTTTGTCCCCCTGCCCTTGCCTACCATTCTCCACAATGTGGCCCTTGGGTTTTCCCACATCAGCACTCACCAGGGTGTCTGTAAAAATGCAGCTCCCTTCCATGGTCCCTATCCCACCCATAAGTCAGAATCTCTGCAGGTATGGAACCCAGGGCCTCTTATATTTCTTATGTATAATAAAATCTGAAACGCTAGGCTTCTTAGGTTTATAGCTTGTTTCTGGTACATTACTACATATCTGAATAGTTAGCAACTCAGGTTAGGTTTTAGAGAACAGTTGTTTTATTATTTATTCATGTCATAAATTGACAATAGTCTCAGGGTCAGATCACCCAGACTATGGTAAGAATATCACTTTTATCATGTGAGGTGAGTTTAGATGGTATGTTCGTGGACCTGTGTTCACAGTTATGTAGTCATTTTAAATATGTATTAGAAAAGCTAGCACATTCAACTTGTGATTTAATGGATGTTGTTGCGTAGAGCTAGGCAAAGTATGAAAACGGGGTCAATTTAAAATCAATGTAAAGATAAATACTAATATTAGCATAGGCAGTATAGAGAGAGACCAAACCGAGCTTGTAGAGGTGGTGTATGAAATGACAGAAATTTGGGAAATATTGTCCCAGCCGTAAGACTAAATAGCTATTATGTTGAATTGTGGATCAACTAAATTAATAAATGTATGCTTTAATACCAAGTCACCCTGAAGATTCGCCTGATGGTTAAGACTACTAGAAATGTAATAAAATGTTTTGTTTTGTTTGACCCCCTCCCCGCACCCCACTACCAACTCAGCACATTTGCTTTTCACTTTTACTGAGCTAACAAAAAATAAAAGTCTTTTTCTGGAATCTGTCAGAGATTTTAAGAACAGGATCTGAATGTGATGTTCCATAGATTGGATGCAATAACATGGTAACAAATTGTAACGAAGCTTCCTAGGCACGGTTAGTAGAAGTGACCTCATCATCACCATCACTACCCCTGTTCCTCTCCTTTTGTTTTTCCTCCCCTCCTCCATGCACACACAATAGCGAGATGTTTTCTTTAAACGTTCTGAAGAAAAGAGAAACAATGGAGAGGGGCCCATACTAAGTGTAATTATTTAACAAGTTAGTATGGTGAGTAAATTCAGGATCCTAGACAAAAATTTCCAGGAGGGCTTTGGTGGGAAGTAAGATGCAGTGCACGGGCAAGGCTTCATGATGCCTGAGCTAGGTTTTGGGGAATATTTCTTACACTGAGTACTAGTCTATGAATAGAGAAGCTCGAGCATGATCTTTCAGAATCTATGGCTGTAACCCATTGTTTAAGCTTGGCCTTGTGATTGATTTATTAAATCAGAGTTTGCAGATGTCTACAAGCTAGGCAGACACAGGAGGGGGCAATGGAGAAGAGCATGTCCCCTTAAAAACAATTTGAAGAACACCCTGCTACTACTGCCTGTTTGAGCGTTAGGCCTCCAGTTGGTAACCAGTGCGATAGAAAAGTGTTATCCTGTCTCCCACGGTTACTTGTGGGGAAAAACTATTTCTTAAAAATACCAAGATTTCGTCAGAGAAAGACAAATACCATATGATTTCACTCATATGTGGAGTTTAAGAAACAAAACAGATGAATGTGGGGGGGGGGGAAGAGAGACAAACCATGAAACAGACTCTTCACTCTGGAGAACACACTGTGGGTTACTGAGGGAGGTGGGTGGGGGGATGGGGGAATGGGGGATGGGGGTGAAGGAGGACACTTGTGGTGGGCACCAGGTCCGGGTATTGTATGGAAATGATGAATCACTCAATTCTATCCCTGAAACTAATATTACACTGTATGTTAACTCACTGGAATTTTGAAACCTGAAAAAAATTATCAAGATTTCAGCTTCTGCTTCTGGAAAAATGGAGCCAATGCATGTTTTCCTATTCGTCATGCTAAGTACACCCAAAACCCTGGACATCAGCTATAAAATAAACGTAGAGTGCGCCGAAAAGTGGAAGGCGGCAGAGTGATCAGGGACCTCAGGACCCAAGGAATGACATAGCAGTGAGCTCCTGCATTTTGTTTCTGCCACGTATGTCCCAGACTTGTTGCTGAAGAAGCCAGCAACCCAGAAATGCCAACGGGCATCAACAACAAAAGCCTATTCTCTCAAGCCAAAGGACCGGGAAAGGGACAGCCTAGCAAAAAGAAAACTTAGGCACTAATCACTGT